TAACCTAGCTAGCAAAGCATAGTAAAATTACTGAATAGCTCCTACTCATATGTGATTATATTATAGTTAACCTAGCTAAGAAAACACTGTAGGAATGGCTGATTAGTGCATACTGACATGTGACTAGACTAGTTAATCTAGCTAGCAAAGTATATTAAAAAGTTGTTAAAGGACTCATACTGACAATGATTACCCTATATTTAACCTAGCTAAAAAAAACTCAATAATAATTGCTTAATAGCTTACACTGACATATGACTACACTAGTTAACTAACAAACAAAGCATAGTAGTAATTTTCTAAGTAGCTCATACTGATATACCACTAAACTCGTTTTAGAGACTAATGTACTTACACCAATTTCCTGGTAATACTGGTTTTGAAATAACTTTTTAAACTCATAATGTTTCATAAAGGTTTATTTAGTGCATCCTTTCAACACCCAGTGCTAGTATCCTGATCAGTCACAATTTAGTTAGTGTAGGCCTAACTAGACTGCTTTTATCCTAGCATATATTTGAAAGATCAGAAGTGGTGTAATATAATTGATTTGAAGTATTATGTTATAATGAGTGAATTTCTGAAGAACTATTATTAAATATTAATAATTTTTTGCTCTTTATGTTAGAATTCCTATCCATGGTGTTTATGTTTTTAAGATTGTGGATAATGATTGTTTTACTACTGCCTCTGCATCACTATTTATAATTTCTGAAAGAGGTTCCTTGGTTTTTTTCATCATAGTCCCCCAATGGGACAGCAGTAAATCTTCAGATTTACAATGCTAAAATCAGGGGTTTGATGTCTCTAGGTGGACACAGCAGATAGCCCGATGTGACTTTGCTATACCAAAACACACACACAGACTCTTCATCATAATATTTAGACCATTAGCATTTAATGTCATAGCTACATTGTTTGTCTGACCTGAGGTTGTCTTAATCTAGTTAAGAGTATGGACAGATTAGAAAACACTATTGATGTTAATTTTCTAAACAGGTGTTTAATTTTTGTTTCTGTTATTATATATATTTATTATTATTATTATTAAATCTCTAAGTTTGGAAGGTGAGTAAATGTTGTTGGGAATGGATTTTACTGTGTGATTGATTGGTTTCTCAGGATAATGATTCTGCATAAGCATTTTGTGAAGAATCCTTTTGTGAGGTGTTTTTTGAAAAGATGTTGATGGCTGTATTTGTTAGTTTTTTAAATGTCTTTTTGACCTGAAGTGGGTGGTTTAATACATAATTTGAGTATCTGTTATTTTTGTTAATAAACAAACTACATACGGAAATTGAAAAAAAATTGGTGTTAATAAATTTTCTTTACAGTTTCATTTTATTTATGCTTTCTCATACTCAACAACAGGTAGTGTAAAACTGTTTGATCGATTTTAGCTCTTTTTCATTCTATAGCTATGTTTCCTTATTGTAGAAATTTTCTTTTATTTTCTGTTTGAAAAATTGATTTGATAATTTAAGCCTTTTTTGGCATTCCTTGATGATCTTTTTCAATGTTATGCCCAAAATTTCTTGGCATGTTCCTTATGCAGATGCTGCCTTTGTATTAGCTGATCTTGATATTGTCATTTCACAAAATATTACTCAGTTAACTCTTTTTGCTTGAAACATGAATATAATTTGAATTCACTTGTAAAAGGTTTTTTTCTTGTCAATTCACACCTGATTTCTCATTTGAAAATGTTATGGTGTTATACAGGTTTTGGCTTATATACATAATGAACAGTTATAATTATAAAGATCAGAACTTTATTTATATAACCCCCTTAATATAAGAACTTTCACAGCCTTATTGTTGTCCTTGAATTGTAGTCTCTTTAGTGAAGTTTAGATTCCTCTACTTGTCTGTATCTGATGTACATGTCCCATAAAAGGTCTTTTTCATAGCATCTTGAACCTTATTTTATTTTTCCACTCTACCTGCTAGGACAAGCATTCCATGGACTTGATTTTGCATTGACCTTTGCCAGTTACAGATCAAGATGTATTTTATTTTGTTTATATCAGTTACATATTTCCTATCTGATATATCTAACATTTCTTTTATTCTGAAAGCTCAATATTTGAGTGGATGTATGTGTCATTAACCACACATACTAACTATTTTTGATGTCAATATTCTCAGTCCTCAGGAGAACTGACAAGTTTTTGAGTCAAAAGTTATTTTTAAACTTTTATCGTCACAACCATTTTAGACTTGCCTTTCTTTCAAGGATATGTTATTAGATTTTGAGCATCTATCATTACCCAATTTGATGTAGTGAATTATATTTACAACATTCTTTGTTTCAACCAAGGATTACCTTGGTTTGGTACAACAGTCAAATTTTTGTATGTTTTACACTTGTTTTCTTTGTACAGCAGGTTCTGGAACACTTATCTTTTTTTTTTCTCCAGAATTTCAACCTTTCATATTTTGTGTGCTTTAATTTTTATTATTATTTTTTCATTTTCATGAATTGTTTATTTTGCCTATCAAATTCTTTAATGCTCGTAGCCCTGGGTGTATTTTCCAATCTAAGCAGTTGTAGTAATTTTGCTCACTACAATATTCTTGGTCTTTTAATTTAATTCCTTCTGAAAACATTTAGATGGAAGTCATTTTTTTTGACAGCTTGAGAATATGTTTTCCTGATTTTCATTGTATTTACATGTCTGCATGAGGTTTATGTTTTTCCTTCCTGATTTTTTCTTTTTATTTTAGTGTCTTCCTACTTAATGCTCCAGCTTCTTTTTCTAAAGCTAAGAAAGATCATTCTGCACAGTGTTCTCATTTTTTTGATATACTGATGTATGTTCATGGATGCTTCTGGAGTACTGAAATCCTACTTGTAAATGTATTACATTTTTGTGGGAATGTTGCTGTGTTAAGTGTAAGTCTTGTTCTCCATCACCAACATTAATCCTTTGTTATGGAAGGTATATTTTTGACTTGCAGACAATATACATAGACTAAGGTAACCTAATTTTAGAATAATGTCTTTTGAATGATACCATCTCTTAGATTAGGCAACTTTATATATACAAAGCATCATTTTTATGTAAAAGATTGATGGCAAAAGTGCACATTTGGTTACATAATTGTCATAGTAGTATACTAACTGATAATAAATTCATATTATTTTACCATTGTATTATTGTTTTGCTGTAAATATCAGTTTTACAACACATTGAAGTAAAGCTAAAATCTTTGTTTCTTATTTTTTCTCTCCATTGTTCTCAGCATGCTTGTACTTTGTTAGCTCATAAAAGTATCTAAAGTCTCTGGACATAGGGCATTTTTGTACCTCTATCCTCATTTAATGTCCCCAGTTTTAGTGAAATATATCTAGTCACTGTAACCCTAGAGCAACATGTTTAGTTTTATAATTATTTCCTACTTTGTTGCATAGCGTAGGCTATTTTGGTGATTCTTATTCTAGTAGTTGCACTTAATCATATAAAGATTCATCCATTTAGCCATTCCAAAGTTTTTTCACAAATTCTGACACCATCTGTTGATTCATGCTTCTTTAGGCTAACTGACTGTTATGTACTAATCTTTTTGTTATTGATTCTTTCATTGATGCCATCACTAGTCAACTATTCTTTTAACATCTACCTACCTTAATGTTAGCTCTGTGTATGATGGTAGTGTGTTCTTGTTTCTCCTTAGACTTGTGTGGTGCTCTTTTCAAAGATCTTCTGTATTGTGTTTTTTCTCATCTGGTATTTTAGGTGGAATCGTCGAGGAGTTAGCATGTGGTAGTTTCACCCATTAACACTGCCATATTTTATTACAACCCTATTGCACCACTCTATGGAGCAGTTCAGTATGTTGAGCTTTGCTGTAGCTTGGGTCTGGCATGCCCCCTTGATCTCTTTTATTGTGAGAGGAGGACATTATCTATCAACACATCTTTTTACCATATTTTAAGATGGATGTGTATTATATACATTTACAGAATCATCTCTGTATGTCGTCTGATTTGTTGCTGGTGTGAGCAGTATGTGATGTTCAAGCTGCTGTAGTAAATAATATCTCCCTTTTTCCCTCAACAACCTGTTTGATTTTTAACAGAGTTGACTGACAATGCTTTCCTTGGATTTATATGCCTTAAAGTGCAAGTCATCAATTTGGGGTTTGGATGTGAATAACCACTAATTTATTGGAAGTGGTAGGCACTTCTATGCTTACTTCAATCAAATCCTCTTCACTGTCAAGATTTTTAGCTCAAGGTCAAAGTAGTGGTACAGTATGGAATTTAAAATTTTAGAACTATGACATATAAAAAAGATACTTATCCATGCTATATTGTTCTTTCCTTCTCTTTGATACTGATAAAGTTTTGGTGAAAATTTAACCATTAAAAGTTAAAATACATATAGTGAGAGAAAATAACAGGTGAGGATTGGTCTAGAGATTCTAGAAAGAAGGAGCATGTGACACTTAACAGAATTTTAAAGAATTCCCACAGTATAAATATATGTGATGATTAAAAATTGTAAATGAAGAAACAGTCAGCAGTAGAAAGACAAATAAAAGGTCTTATTTCTGGCAAAATCAAGAAAAAAGTGTTCAAGCTCATAGTAAAGATATCTTTTAGGTTTTCACTTTAGGCCTAAGATGTTAAACACTGTGGGTAGGCAAATATTAATGTTCAAAGCACTATCAACAAGAAAAAGTGCAATGTTTAAAACTTTTTGTTGGGAAAGTATAATGCTCCAAGTAGTGAACACAGAGAAATATATATTTTCTTTGATACTGAGTTGATAAAAAATAACACCTCTGAATGTCAAAAAATTTATATTTCCAAAACTGTTAAGTAGTTAGAAATTGTTGTTTGATATTTTGATGTTAGGTAGAAATTAAGTATCTGCTGAAGTTAAGCTGAATATATATGCTCATAAAAAATTGAAAGCTGTAAAATTGTTATTAAGCTTAATAAAATTAATGAAAGATATCAAAATGCTCACTTTATATCTTATACTAAACAGCTCATTTCCATTTACGAAATGGTGCCTGTATTTGGAGACTTAACTGGTTGGCTGATAAGTCTCCACGAGGTCTCACTAGCAGTTGTGGTATTATGGTAAACTACAGGTATGATTTTACAGTGATTGTTTTTGTTATAAAAACATAAGTATAGAAGTATTAATAACAGTAACTTAACTATTTCAAAAACGTTTATATGTTGTTAATTTATGATGGATCTCAGACAATAAATCATTATATTTCTGAATAATTGTATATATTTAATGATGTTTGTTTATAAACAAAACATACTTAATTTTTATCTTAATATATGTTATTAATTTTATTTAATTGTTAAATCAATTGAAAAAATTATTTTAATAATATTATCCAATTATACATGTATATGATTTAGTAAATCGTGCTACTTTAAACACATTTATGCAATTGAAGTGTACTGTTGTGCTGCTGAGTAATTATTCTACTATGAAAGTATTAACATTACTAAATCCATCTACTAGTACCATCAATCTGAACTTCTATTCCATTTTCCTTAAATTTTAACTTATTTTTAGTAGAATTCAAGAAATTTTCCCACACTGTTATTGGGTTTTATAGGGCCCAGATTCTTTACAGTAGGTGCCTGTGACTTGTTGGCAATAAATTTCAATAATAAATGGACAGCACACAATCCACTTGTTTTAAAATAATATATTCAAAACAAGTCAAATGTACCTACAAAAATTCATTACTTTTAGTTATCACAGTTGTATCTCAAGCTTTAAGTAATTGTCTTCAGTTACCTTAGAACACCCTTTGACAAGACAAATTATTCTTTTTTATCTCTGTTGTTACAATACTACTGTTAAACTGACTTTAGATATTACCTGTTATGGTTAAACTAACAATCACATAGTCTAACTTCACTATCTAACTTTAACTTCTTTATCTGCATATATTTATAACATGCAACAGAAAAATCTAGAAATATCTAGCCCTCTAGTAGCAACAATATTAAATATAATGAGAAAACTTAGAAGCTTTGAGTAAGATGATGTCAACAAATATATGAAAGTCTAGTATAACAATTTTAAACTGCATACACAATGTAAGACTTGTACAAAACTTGTCATAACTGTTGCTTTTAAAGTAATTACCTTTTAACACTTGTTCGATAAACCAAGTAATCATTAAATATTAGATCACTAAATAAACTAAATAATAACTCTTAAACTAAACAGTCTTGTATATTCAACAATGAACCCCTCTTCAAGAAATATATTTAAAATATTTTTATACTAGATACAAAGACTGCTTTCAGTTCATACACAAAGTCTCCTCAAATAGTCTGCACCAACAATTGCAGTTTTTTCGCTGGTCTCTCTTCATATATGGCATCTGAAGGCCTTCATCTTAACTGGATCCTTAATCGTGCTCTCGATCTTATGTTGCACAAGATCTGTCTTTCCTGGTCTATCTGCAAAGACATCTACATACTGGCACAGTAGATCTCATAGTTCTTTCTTCTACTTGCCAGTCAGTTCTTCACTGATGTTGGCATCTTTGTACATCTCATCTCCACACATTGGTCTTAGGTTAGTAGGTTTTCATCCTCTATGACAAAGTCACTGTCTTCTGATTCTGCATCTCTGACAGCCACACCAGCCATGTCCATCTGTACCTCAGTAGATGTGCCTGTTAGGTCTTCTTCCCATTCAAAGTACCTCTTCAACAAATTGGCATGGTAGATCTTTGTCTTCCCATCCACTTTCACCTTATAGTACTTTCTGTTGGTAGCATCTTGCACTTGTATATCCAACACCTGTGTGATGTTTTGAAATATGCAAAAATGTAATGATTAAACAAATTGACACTACAGAAAGACAATTTCTAACAAACGTATCAGTACATTTAAAGTGAAGTTTTTGATCAGAAAACATTTAGAACTGTAAGCTCTATTGCTTGTGGCCCATACATATAAAGTTTTTTACACCACTCTTCTGAATTTCCAGTAATGTGATATACTGCAAGAACCTGAAAATGATTGAATAATTTTAGTTGTTCAGATTATTAAATCTTTTGAATGACTCATCATATCCTAGGATCAGCTACTATAAAGTTGGATTAATTCTTATAATATCCATCAGGTATTTTTTGGAGGCTACTGAAATTAACAGTCAGCGTTACATAGAAAAACAGCATGTGGAAGCATCAGAACAGTTCTTACATCTTCTTGGCCTGTCACATCATAAGTCTTCTTTATAAGAAATAGTACAATATTTCTGTAAGGTATAACACCAGCTTATTAAAAGTATAATAAATATTATATGGGAAGGAAAATCAAGAAGCTTATATTTTTAGCTACTCACATATAAGATAAGTCAATCTTTCCTTTTTATTTTCATAACAATTTATATTGCTTTTCTTAAATGAAAATCATTACATAATTTTTTATCCAAGCACAGAATATTTTACAGTAGTTTTACTTTGAACCTTCATTTTTCTATGTATATGAAAGCTTTATTGAGATAGCATTACTCAAAATACCCTTCTAAGCAACTATTGGATACACATTCACTGTTAAGCAATAAAAAATGTTTAGTTTGACTGAAGCGTAAGAATATTTCTACTGTAATTGAAAATAAATGTAGTGCTTCTGTGTGTAAACAAATGATAAATTATTCAAATACATAGATTAACTTACATTGAGAACTTAACTAGTTTTTATTATTAAACAATCTAGATTATACAACTATTGAAAATTAGTCCTCTGTGAGATCACTATTTGTGTGTTTTTGTGAGTGGTGGTAGTACATGATTTTTGAAGTGTTGTGAACAAAAATATTGCATTATCTAACATAACAGTTCACATTTAAATAAAGTTAAAGATTTTAAGATTTAATATTGACCTTTAGCTTAAAGTGCAAGGGGTTTAGTAATCAGTCCTTATGCATTAGTTTAAAATGCTCAAATACACAGTACTGACTGATTTACAAGATGCTGAGCCAAGATGCTTGAGAAATTTTAGTTTTGATTCTAACTGTTTAAGTGAGATTATGTTAAATTTTTAGAATGAATATACTGTTATAGATAGAAGTTATCCAAGAATATATGTATATTTTGTAAATAAATCACTTCCTTTCTCACACTTTTACAAAATGAAAGTTTTTTTTTTTTTGCTTATTTTATCCTGCCTTAAAATGTAAAAGTAAACATACATTATTAGAAAGAATTATGATAAATAAAAATTTAACCAAAGATGCTTGTGATTGCTAAAAATCTGTATATTCTATATATTCATGTTTTTTTCTCCTTTAATCATAATATATAAATATAGTATTTGATGTTTTTACATAATCTCACATGTAAAATATTATGTTAGTAATTTTTAAATCACAGATCTAACATTTATTTCACTTGTATATTTACAGGTATAACCTTGTGAACAAATTTGAAGTAAAATAGACTCAAATCCCCATAGAAACTTAAAAATGTTTTGATCAAATTAAGAAATTAAAACACCATATATTCTGCATCAGCATTTCTCTTCAATTTCACCATTTGGGGGTACTATGTACTCCATATTTTCTGGAGCTACAAATATAAAATAGAAGGTATAAAAGGTAAAGCAATCAACTAAGTCTAGTACATTAAATTACTCTTAAAATTTAATTCTGCCTACCTACCTCATGATGTAATAAATAGGTTAAAGATGACTTTGAAATGGTGGTCCATGAAAGAGCAGCATATGGAGACAGAAATTTTCATGTATGAGTGCTTTAATTCATGTACAGATGTTCGTGAAGGGGACATTGTTGTAGGTGGACAGTGCTCTGTATAATAATCATATTACTTCAGAAGTTACACAATAATAGATTAAAATAAGAAAATAAAATAATATAATATTATATATATATATATATATATATATATATATATATATATTAGAAAATTGAATGAAGTGTTAAAATTGGAAGCATATGAAAAAACTAATAAAATAATTTATTGGTTAGTACACCAATCTTTGGTCTGTTTAATAATCAATTAAAACACCTCTTTCATTTTGTTTTGTGACATAAGTTGTTATAATAAAGGAGCATGTATAAATGAAGAATAAAAATTAAAACCTCTTGTTGTCTAGATGGATTTTCTTTGTTATAAAATTACTTCTTTAATAGTTTGAAAGGTTGAATATAAAGTCGCCTCTGATTAACATGTTACTCTTCTTTTTTCCTTTGTGTTAGAATATTGTAATTTTTACAAGCACTATATATTAAAGGTGAGTAAAGAAACTTTCATCCAAGTTAATATTGGATCAGCCTTTATGTGCTATGAACTCAATAAAAGATTAGTGGTGGAAAGAAAAAATGAAGTGATTCTTAAAACATATATATTTCAAACAACTAGTCCTAATAAAGTTCTTTGTCATTATTTACATATGTCAAAGTAAGAATATATTGTATATTCAGTTGTTTTGCTGGATATTTGGTTTGGCCAGATATTAGTACCTATTTCACAGACAAATCATTAAAATTTTCATATTTTCTAGAAACAGCATAACCTAAAACCTGCATTAGATACTAAGAAGCTATAAATGACATTAAAAGACAATCAGTTAACAAGTTTATTAATGTAGAGCAGTAATAACTCCCAAATTTGATATGTTAATAAACATTACAAAGTTTTATACTCAGTGACATATGCTTTGTTTTTGTAGCATAAATCCATTTAAATTAGATTTTTTTTTCAAAAGTACAGGATCATGCTTTCTTTTATCAAACAATTTTCTAAAGTTTAAATGATTTGAAATAATTTTAGTATGAGAAGTAAATATTATGGTTTTCCAAGCAATCATCTTAATCTGTCTAAAATAAAAAAAACACCATCCACGTTGTCTTCAAAGATTTTGGCAATGTCAAAAACAATTCCGTATGGGGTCTTTTAATCTTAGCACACTCTCAGTAGCTGGTCAGTTTATCCATTCAGTTCCTGCTAAGCCACCCCCCAGTGGCACAGCAGTATGTCTGCGGACTTACAATGCTAGAATCCAGGTTTTGATACCCATGGTGGGCAGAGCACAGATAGCCCATTGTGTAGCTTTGTGCTTAATTACAAACAAACATCCTGCTAAGCCTCTGGGTTCAACACTCTTAAGACTATCTTTCAATGTTATTTATAGGAAATATTGGCAAATTTTATTGCCTGTTTTTATTTGACTTTGTAATTAAGTTTACTGTTGTAGTATGTGAAACATATATGGTGTTTTTTCTTTTAGTTTACAAAGGGAAACATTTCTTGTTTACCCAGAACTTTTTAAATGTTTCACACACAAAAATGTTTGTTGCACATTTAATCCAACTAACACTGTGGCAGCCTTCTTCTTGAGTTATTCACACATGGTCAAGGTTCATCCCCCCTTTGGTATTTTTCAACTCTCACAAGACATATGTCAATGGAAAGCTCCTTAGATCTTTAATAATGCCATTTTAGTAGCAGCAGTTTAATAAATGTTTAAAGTTTGGGGATACTTGAAGAATATGTCCTCCTACCTTTACTTATAATTGGGCCAAATGATGTGGATGACAAATGCACTTTAGGATGATTAGAACTATTCACTATGTGTATAGTGGTTAATTATCTCAATCTTATTCAGATTTGGTTCACATTAAGATTTCTCCATAACTAGAGGAAAGTTCTATCTTCCATTTCGTGCACACATTGACTGTGTTATATTGTTTGAATTTTGTGTGTGGAATCAGTAAGCTATTTATTTAAGTGTCATTTTGTGTCCAGTCTGTTCCTTCAGTTAATTGGAATAGGTAGCACCCTATAGATCGCTAAGGTTTATACCAGGCCAATACAATGGTGCAGTTCAGCTAAGATTGTATTCCAGTCACAGAGCTTCAGTAATCTATACCAACAACCACCATAGTTCAGATTCAGAGGAAGAAGAAGGTCAACCACTCAGGTAACAACTAACTGCAGTTGTTCATGTACCTGTAGCTGAATTGAAAACATGGACCTGGGTTTTTGTATGAGCAACAAAAACCCTTCTTCCAGAAGTGAAATGCTCCTAGATCATTGAACACCTTCAGTGACTAACTCCTTCTTTTAGATATAAGTCCTTCATATGAAAAATGCCATTTCTAAGTGTAGCTTCTGTAGAGAATGACAGTATAAAGCTAAAAAAATACACATTTAGAAGACTAGTATCTATGCAAAAGTAAATCTTAGGGTCATGATAGTAAATTTCACATTCATTGTGATTTTTTCAATGAAATCTAAAATTACTACTTTTACTTACATTTTGAAGTATAGATGGTATAAAACTTTTCAATTTGTATGCCAATTAGCCCTTAGGGAACAAGAATCCTCAGCAAGTGGAATTAACTGTCAGAAGTGTTATTGGGGAAACTAGTTTGAAAAGACAACGTGTGACTGAACGTGTCGAAACCAATTTCTCCAATATCAAAACTTTTGACAGCCTGTTCTGTTTACTGTGGCTTTTTTTATCTCTAACTGCTACACACGATAGTGTTTTTTGTGGCAGTAGACCCATTTAACTTTGTGTGATAAATTATGTTCAATTGATACAGAATTTATATGTATAATAAAAACTAAATACAGTACTTTAAAACTATGTAAAAGATTATAAGACAGTGAAGTTCTTAAAATTAACTATTTTTATATTATTAAAAGAAGGGAATATCATTAAACTGAAATTATTTTATTATAATATTTTGAACTAATAATCTAAATATACTTTGATTAGTTATAAAGTATGTACCAAATAAGCATCATTAAAATCATAAAATAACATTATAGAAGAAGTAAGTTTAACGTAATATCTGTAACAGAATTTCTAATTATTATTTTGGTTACAATACGATATGTCAAAATCGATTCCACTAAATAAAGATGTATTTTTTGTTTATAGTATTAGTACTCTGTTAGTAAGTATTGTTTCAAACTCAGTAGATAACATTTGATTTCAAAATTCTCATGAAGTGTAAAAATTGGGGTATAAGCGTTCTTCACATAGGTACTATACATATCGGTGCAGTAACTGTTCAATATCATGGAAACTTTTCTGTCTGTTTGTGGACGTATCTCCTCCTACACGAGCTAACTTCTCCAGCCAAACTTGGCATGCTGATTTAGTAGTCCAAACCAAATTCGTATTAACCTTTCCCATGTATTGTAAAATAAAATATTTTATAGAATAACCCTTATATCGTTACTGCAGTAACTATTGTAAATAGTTAAGTTTGACCACAACTCATACTATAACCAAATCTTATGAGTCAAAGATTTTACATACAATGTTCAGCATTTTGGCTTCTTTTCCATAATAACCAAAATATACAGTACTAAAACAGCCAGCTACAATGTGGAGAATAAAGACATTGCTGCTATTTAAGTTTCTCGCTCTTTTATTACTAGGGTTAGAATAAGCGCTTAAGCTTCAATTAGAGAAGTATTTCATAAGTAAAATATTTTTAGAATATTTCTTACTTTTTGATGTAGAACTCGTAAAGTAAGACATCTAAAGTGTATTACAAAATCTTCAAAAAGAGCATCCATTATGGACTGAGAGCTCACTTTTACTTGTAGACTTTCACTGGATCTGTCGGGCTTTCACCAAAGGCAAAGCTGGGTATGTAAACACAAAATAAATCAATTAATAATAGTATCTACACTAAGCAGTTTGTATATCTGACATATACATTACTGATTTCCATGATGAATTCATAGATCAGGTATATAAAAATCTCCATGTAGCGTTAGTTTGTTGTTCTTTGCTGTCATTTGATGTTTGTAACGAATTTGTTATGTATTTATTTTAATATGAACGTTGTTTAGATTAAGTTTATATTTAAAAATATGCGTATCTTATAGTGTTAAATATGTATTGCGAAACTCCCGCCTATTCTTCAAAGTTGTAGAAGATTCTCGAGAGTAAGACTCAACAATATGTATATCTGAATTTTCTAGAAAACCTTCCCACGCCTATAAATATAACCAACGCGCCGCGCCAAGGAGCGTGTTTATTAGTAGTTCGCTATAATCTGTGTACTATAAACTTCGAAAGCTATAACTGTGATTTTTATAACCTTTATCAATCGAAAAACTTCAGATATTTGACCAGGAGCCTTTACAAGGTTCGAACATTACAAATTATTTAACTTCAGTGGATTCTCATCGGACATTAGTATTTTTTACGAAAACATTACAGTGTGTGTAGCCAAGAACAAAACTAGCAAGCTTCACATCAACTCGTAATTTACTTGCTCATCGTAAACCCTCGATAAAATATTGTTACGTCTCTGTATGTTTGTTTGTTAATTCTTCTAAGATACAAGTCCTTTCCTTATAAAACTTGTTTATTC